CAATATTTAAATTAAAAGAGAAATTAAAAAGAAAAAAAATGTATAGGGCTTCTGGACGGGTTCTTCTCTAATGAAACGTTTCGTCTCTCCTCCAAGAGACTTCTTCAGTCTGAGAGTTTCAGGCAAAATTCAGGCTCCGAAACACCCGCAGAGAAACTGAGACGTTTATTTTCTAAACATGATGTCCCAGTGGCTTTCAAACCCCAAAACACATTACGGCAAAGGCTGGTTCACCCCAAAGATCCGGTGCCCCGGCACAAACAGAGCAATGTTGTATATGCTGTTAAGTGCCAGGAGGACTGCGACCAGTTATACATCGGGGAAACAAAGCAGCCACTGTTCAAAAGAATGTTCCAACACAGACGAGCTACATCTAATGGCCACAACTCTGCAGTTTTCACTCATTTACAGGCCAGCGGTCACTCTTTCAGAGATGAGGATGTTCTCATTCTTGATAGAGAGAAACGTTGGTTTGAGAGAGGAGTAAAAGAAGCCATTTTTGTGAAGAAAGACCGTCCATCATTAAACAGAGGTGGAGGCCTCCGTTTTCAGTTGTCCCCCTCCTACAGCGTGGCTATTGCCAGTATCACTCCACCCCCTGTTAACAATAGGTATTAATTAGGTGTCAACGATAGCCATGTGATGTGAGTATCAGTCACATGGAGGCAGTGCTTAAAAGCCTGAATTTTGCCTGAAACTCTCAGACTGAAGAAGTCTCTTGGAGGAGAGACGAAACGTTTCATTAGAGAAGAACCCGTCCAGAAGACCTGGACGATTTTTTTCTTTTTGATTTTTCTACCTGGATTACTGAGATGCATCAGGACATAAAAGAGAAATTAAAATGAGTAACTTACATTTTTGACTAGATATTTTATTTTGAAAATTCTGCGTATGATCATTATTAATAAATGCAGAAAGGAGTTCATCAAAGCCCCAAAGTACAAGCAATGTTCTTGTAGCTGTTTGTTTGTTTACTCGTGTCTGATGAGCCACCGGAGGGACTTTAATGGAACTCTAATAACATAATCACAGAGTGAAACCTCTTCACACACAAAATAATAATAATAATAATAAAAAATAAAAATGAAAAACAGATGACGGCATAAATAGAGTATAAATGGTATAAATATTTTTAGTGAAAGAAACGACAAAACACCAATGTAAGAAAATCCAAATTAGTTCTCTTAAAAGTTTAACCCAGGACAATTTTTTCTTCTGCAAAGAGTCACGCACAAATAAACTTTCACTGCCTACCCACTGATATTGACTTGAACTTACTGCCACTGATGTCAGGAGATTGCTAACAAATTGATCTACAAGAGTTCGTGTGTCAGAGCTTGTCTGTTCATATCTCTACTGTATCACAGCAAATCACAGAGCCGGAGTCTATTTCTGCATCACTTAAGATGCTCTTTGATTTGATCTCATGAGATCAACAGCTAACTGTCCCACTGGGCCGGCTCACGACGCAGTATTACCACCAGCCATGCATCTGAGTCACCCGCGGTTGTCACGGCAACTGCATCCATCATGAAGTAATTATAAAATGACTGTCATAAGAAAAGGATGCAGCCAAAATGAATTCCAGGTTCAGGTTTCTAAAAAAATTTAACTTCAAAGAAGTGGTTAAATTAAAAATTAACTTGATTTATTCACAGTGAATCAAATGAATATTTTAGATGACACGGTGAGAAGGAGTGTTTTTATTATTATGGCATCCAGGTTACTGCATCTGAGGAAGTTTGATATTTAAAATAGAAGCAGCGAGGGAGCCAAAGGGTCGAAAGCACAAGAACATCCTCTCCTCCCCCCCAACAAAGCATCTGATGCAATTCAGTGTAAGTCCTGGATAATAAAAAAAGGTGGAAGGGAGGAGGATCTGCAAAGAAAGAAAGAAAGGAAGGAAGCAAGCAAGCAAGCAAGCAAGCATGCTGAGGCAGCTGTCCTTTGCCTGAACCACTTAGCTGATATTAAATTCAAACATGATGATTTCATCCTGAAGCACTTAGAGACCAGGCAGTTATTGCATCATTCGTTTGGAAAAGGTCCCGGTGATGTCATCGTTCAGAATCAGGGATGATGCACAGATTAAGTGCAATAACAAGCATTTTGAAAATAGGTTTTTATGTGATGTAAATTTTGCAGGAATAAAGCAGCTGAATGTGGTGATACTAAACTCAGATTTGACTTTTTGCACTAAAGTCTTTGTGGTTAAAATGTCCTTTGACCTTAAATATTCCCTGTTCTTATCTCTCTACAATGGCTTTCTATTCAGGATTTGATTTATCTCTTCTTTTTTGTCTATAAAGTGATACACAACCAGACTTACACCTTGTCTTCCCTTCCCTGACCTCAAAGGTCACATGATCAGCAGCTTGTTGTTGTTTTCTTTCCTTTTATGTCCTAGACCAGAGGTTCTCAAACTGGGATCCCAGGACCCCCAGGGGTCCATGAAGGGCATCCTGGGGCTCCCAAAAAAATTCACTAAATTGTTTATTTGGTTTTTATTTTTACAAAAATGCATGAAGAATAATAAACTAATAAAACAAACATAATAAACTAAATAAAAATATAGATTTCCATGGCATTTAGGGGTTAAAATGACAATAAATTATCTTTTAAAACAGCATATGGTTCATGAGGGGGTCCCTGGACTGTTTTTCGCCCTTGTGAGGGGTCCCCAGACCCAAAAGGTTTGAGAACCCCTGTCCTAGACTATAAAACAATCTTCCTCTATAGCCGTGGTTCTCAAACTTTTCAGCTCTTTACCCCCAAAACAACAGCAGCAGAGAGCTGAACCCCTAACTGTTTTTGGTTGATAAACATTGTTATCGAGTTAAATAAACAAGAGCATAGCAATAATAGATATTATGCTAACTGAATCCATGTTTAAGTACAGGAACCTCTTTCTGTTGCAACAACTAAGGCAAAAAAAAGTTGTTAGTTGTTGTCATCCTTTTAAGACCCCACCTTGATGTTTCAGGACCCCACCACTGCTCGATAGCAGCTAAAAACCTGAAAACCTGTTTTATTTTAGCTATGTCATGTTCTATTTAACACACAGGAAACACATGCACTCATCATCTCTTTATGAGGACATTGCATTGACATTCATTAAATTCTACAGCCTAACCCTGACCCCTTACCCTAAACCTAACCTCACAGGTACATACTTGACCCTAAATCCAGCCAACCCACCAACACTATTTCCCCCCATGGGGACTAGGCTAAGGTCCCTATAAGTACCAGTTGGTCCTCACAAGTATGTGTGTATGCCACAAATGGTCCCCAATTAGTGGGAAATGCCCGCTCGCATACTTGTACTTGCATCAAACTGAGGACATTGTATTGACTTCCATTCATTTTTATAAATGTATTTATACCTAACCCAGACAGTTTCCCTAACTCTAATCATTAGTCTGTTCCTAACAGGGGCAATATCATGTAAAATCAGCTTTTTTGAGTTTTATATCATGTTATAATGTTATACTCTCATAAAAACATGCCCAAAGCCTTGCTCTGACTCATTCATGCGTGTTTGAGAAATCCTGCAGCGTTTTTACACAGCCATGCTGAGGAGCAAAACGACAGGTGGGGACCAGAAACGCCCTTTGGTACCAGAAACACCTCTGGGACGTGTCTTTAGGCCGAACTTCTTCATCACGGAGCACGCCTCCCCACCTCCCACCCCACACACCCCGCCCATGACTCCTGCAGGTTCTCGGCAGTAACAAAGCAAACGAGTGAAAGTGAAAGTGAAACCTAACTGTCTGCTGAGATCCACTACTGCTCACTCAGTGAAGCTCTTTTCAGATTCAAAATACCTTTGAGGAAATGTATTTTCAGATGCCAAGTAAAGTGCATTATAGCACGCACGCGACACCCCCACCACTGAAACTTACGGAACAGAAGCAGAAGGTGGTTCTTAAAGAGACAGAGGCCAATTTCAAGGCGTTTAGAAGAGGAAGTGATGAGAAGATGAGTTTCTTTTCTATTTAAACATAAAAACAGCATTTTAATAACAGCTAAAGGTGACATAGATACTTTATTAAGTATAACATTTAAATGTATGTCTGAGAAACACATAATGTTGCCCCTTTAACTAAAACTTAATTCACACCATACCTCTGAACCTAACTTGTAGAGTGCAGTAGAGCTGTAAGAAAAGTGAGGACTGGGAAAATGTCCTCACTTTGTTGGTTAAAAACATACAGTCCTCACTCTGTAGCAGAAACAAGTACACACACACACACACACACACACACACACACACACACACACACACCTACTATGTCTCTCTATCCTTGTG